GGAATAGAACGTTCTGAAGGCGAGTTGGTGCCACGGTGCTCAATAGAACTAATAGGAGCTGGCAGGGTGAAAAATGCCCTAAAATAAGGCCTGCTTTTTCGTGATTACTTCAAAACTACGACAAGCAGCTGGGACATATGGTAATATTATGAAACTGGGCTCCACGGCGGATGCAATGAACTCGTTTTTATCAGATAAAAGCGTTAAAAATGTCATGTGTCCAGCCTACCATAGTGTGCAAGTGTTTGTCAATATTGCCAAAGCAACAATGTATACAATATACATTGTAATAAAATAATAAAGATTAACAAATAATAATAAAAAATGGTAGTAAATAATAATAAATAAATACATTTTGTTATTTATTTATTGTTATTAACTACCATTTTTTATTATTATTTGTTAAGCTTGACGCAATGTTTTTCATGCCAATAAAGCAGCTTGAATTGAATTGAATTGTCACAGTGCGAATTGCAAACCAATAAACAGACCAGCTTACTGAATGTCGGGTTGATAACACTTCCCTGTGGATATTTTGTCTCTGATTACCTCCGACATAGGGACAAAAATCAGCTGACAATAGGTAAAGTAAGTTGAAATGAAGTTTGTTCAATATTCTGACTTGTAATAAGACTGTTCGGCAATGCTGAGCTACATGTTAGAGAGGAGAGTACGTATTTCACACTCAGGATTCAAAAAGAGGCTAATAGGGCACTTAATATTCTACAAACTCATGTCATTCAAGAATTAACTGCTACGCACTAGCTCAGCACCGGAATGAAAACTCTAGTTTAGTGTCAAGTCAAACAGCAGTTAGCCTACCTACCCAAAGCCATCTACTACAGCCATCTTTACCTCTGCACTGTATGGAGGAAAAGCCAGCCAGCCAGGCAGCTTTTCCTCCCGCCCCCAGGTCCTAAAGTCAACCTATTATATCGCTAAACTGCATTAGCCTTCGGGATTTTAATAGAAAATATAAACGCAACAATTTCAACGAGTTTACTGAGTTACAGTTCATGTAAGGAAATAAGTCAATTGAAATAAATTCATTAGGCCCTATATGGATTTTTCATGACTGGGCAGGGGCACAGCCAAGGGTAGGCCTGGGATGGCATAGGCCCACCCACTTGGGAGCCAGGCCCACCCACTGGGGAGCCAGGCCCAGCCAATCAAAAATAGTTTTTCCCCACAAAAAGAGAGAAATAATTAGAGAGAAATAATTTAATTTGAGAGAAAGAAGCTTTTCGTGGGTATGGAAAAATTCTGGGATCTTTTATTTCAGCTGATGAAACATGGGACCAACACTGCCATCAAATCAAAGTTTATTGGTCGCGTACACAGATTTGCAGATGTTATCGCAGGTGCAGTGAAATACTTGTGTTTCTAACTCCAACAGTGCAGTAATAATACCTAGCAATACAAAACAATACGCACATAATACAAAAAGTTAAAAGAAAGACATTAAGAAATATCAGAACGCGCAATGTCAGAGTCCATATATACAGTGACATACGAAAGTATTCACCCCCCTTGGCATTTTTCCTATTTTGTTGCCATACAACCGGGAATTAAAATTGATTTTTGGGGGGTTTGTATCATTTGATTTACACACTTTGAAGATGCAACATATTTTTTTATTGTGAAACAAACAAGAAATAAGACTAAAAAACAGAACTTGAACATGCACAACTATTCACCCCCCAAAGTCAATACTTTGTAGAGACACCTTTTGCAGCAATTACAGCTGCATGTCTATTGGGGTATGTCTATAAGCTTGGCACATCTAGCCACTGGGATTTTTGCCCATTCTTCAAGGCAAAACTGCTCCAGCTCCTTGAAGTTGGATGGGTTCTGCTTGTGTACAGCAATCTTTAAGTCATACCGCAGATTCTCAATTGGATTGAGGTCTGGGCTTTGACTAGGCCATTCCAAGACATTTAAATGTTTCCCCTTAAACCATGAGTGTTGCTTTAGCAGTATGCTTAGGGTCATTGTCCTGCTGGAAGGTGAACCTCCGTCCCAGTCTCAAATCTCTGGAAGACTGAAACAGGTTTCCCTCAAGAGTTTCCCTGTATTTAGCACCATCCATCATTCCTTAAATTCTGACCAGTTTCCCAGTCCCTGCCAATGAAAAACATCCCCACAGCATGATGCTGCCACCACCATGCTTCACTGTGGGGATGGTGTTCTCGGGATGATGAGAGGTGTTGGGTTTGCGCCAGACATAGTGTTTTCCTTGATGGCCAAAAAGCTCAATTTTAGTCTCATCTGACCAGAGTACCTTCTTCCATATGTTTAGGGAGTCTCCCACATGCCTTTTGGCGAACACCAAACGTGTTTGCTTATTTTTTTCTTTAAGCAATGGCTTTTTTCTGGCCACTCTTCCGTAAAGCCCAGCTCTGTGGAGTGGACGGCTTAAAGTGGTCCTATGGACAGATACTCCAATCTCCTCTGTGGAGCTTTGCAGCTCCTTCAGGGTTATCTTTGGTCTCTTTGTTGCCACTGATTAATGCCCTCCTTGCCTGGTCCGTGAGTTTTGGGGGGCGGCCCTCTCTTGGCAGGTTTGTTGTGGTGCCATATTCTATCCATGTTTTAATAATGGATTTAATGGTGCTCCGTGGGATGTTCAAAGTTTCTGATATTTTCTTAGAACCCAACCCTGATCTGTACTTCTCCACAACTTTATCCCTGACCTGTTTGGAGAGCTCCTTGGTTTCCATGGTGCCGTTTGCTTGGTGGTGCCCTTTGCTTAGTGGTGTTGCAGACTCTGGGGCCTTTCATAACTGAGATCATGTGACAGATCATGTGACACTTAGATTGCACACAGGTGGACTTTATTTAACTAATTCTGTGATTTCTGAAGGTAATTGGTTGCACCAGATCTTATTTAGGGGCTTCATAGCAAAGGGGGTGAATATATATGCACGCACCACTTTTCTGTTATTTATTTTATAGAATTTTTTGAAAAAAGTTATTATTTTCATTTCACTTCACCAATTTGGACTATTTTGTGTATGTCCATTACATGAAATCCAAATAAAAATCAATTTAAATTACAGGTTGTAATGCAACAAAATAGGAAAAACACCAAGGGGGTTGAATACTTTTGCAAGGCACTGTATATACACATTGATTGTACAAAACATTAGGAACACTTTCCTAATATTGAATTGCACCCCCTTTTGCCCTCAGAACAACAAGTTGGCCGGATGTCCTTTGGGTGGTGGACCATTCTTGATACACACAGGAAACTGTTCAGCATGAAAAACCCAGCAGTGTTGCAGTTCTTGACACAAACCGGTGCGCCTGGCACCTTCTACCATACCCCGTTCAAAGGCACTTAAATATTTTGTCTTGCCCATTCACCCTCTGAATGGCACACATACACAATCCATGCCTCAGTTGTCTCAAGGCTTAAAAATCATTCTTTAACCTGTCTCCTCTCCTTCATCTACACTAATTGAAGTGGATTTAACAAGTGACATTAATAAGGGATCATAGCTTTCACCTGGATTCACCTGGTCAGTCTATGTCATGGAAAGAGCAGGTGTTCTTAATGTTTTGTACAGACAGTATGGACAGTAATGAATAGAAAAGGTGTGTACAGCAGTAGCTAGACATTAAAGTGACCAGTGTTCAATTACTCTATGTACATAGGGCAAAGCTTACCGGGTGGTAGCCGGCTAGTAACATTGACTAAGGTTCAGGGCAGGGTACTGGGCAGAGGCCGGCTAGTGGTGACAGTCTGATGGCCTGGAGATCAGTCTCTCGGTCCCAGCTTTGATGCACCTGTACTGTGTCCTCCTTCTAGATGGTAACGGGGTGAACAGGCCATGGCTCGAGGTCCTTGATGATCTTCTTGGCCTTCCCGTGACACCGGGTGCTGTAGATGTCCTGGAGGGCAGGCTGTGTGCCCCGATGATGTGTTGGGCTGACCGCAGCACCCTCTGGAGAACCCTGCGGTTGTGGATGGTGCAGTTGCCATACCAGGTGGTGATACATCCCGACAGGATGCTCTCCATACCCAATTGACGCCCATGCACGCAAGCCGTTTTGGTACTCCCCCTCCATTGTAAAAAATACTTTGGAAGCTATAGAAATGCATTTATTAATGTCTACATTCGTTTTTGACAAGTATATTCTATTATAGACACATTAATGCATACTTTTAAATTATATTTTGTGAACTTAATATAACAATTTAAAATAAAATAAATATAAAAACATATTCCTTAAAGTAATTTTTAGAGAGTAGGTTACTAATTTTACTGTCCCCACTACAACAAATAAATACTTAAATACATGTAATTTTGTCCTTGACACATTTTTTAAAAATACTGTAGAATTCCATTCATTCGCTACCTATTTCTAAAATGTGTCTTCTTAAAAGCTGATTTGAAACCTAATCCTAACCTTAACCCTAACCTTAACCACACTGCTAACCTTTCCCAACCCTAACCTTAAATTAAGCCTAAAAAGCAAATTTTTGTTTTCATGAGTTTTACAAATATAGCCAAAATATCGATTTATATTATATTTTGACTTTGTGGCTGTGGTAACTAGTGACACCCCTTATGAGGAGTACCAATATGGCAATGTGGCTTCAAATCCTCTCCTCGGTGCTATCCGGGATCCTTGGGACGTTCCTACCCTAAACCCTAAACCTAACTTTAACCCTTACCTTAACCCTGACCTTAACCCTTAACTTAACCATTTTACATTTCAACTTCAATTGGGTAGGGATGTCCCAAGGATAGCATGGATCATTGGGCAATACATAGCATGAGCAATCCAGGGTTTATACACGTCACTGTGCCGTTTAACACATTAGCTTGCACAAGGAGCGCACCTATTCATGCAGGTTCATATAAACTCTCCACCCTCTGCCACTACTGCCACTCGATGGTCCGATATACAGTAAAGCATCTGACCAATAGGAACACGAAACATACCAAACACAGGAAACGACTAGACTTCTGATTGGGTGATAGAAGAGCCCTCACCTCACATACATGGACATAATTCTCGTTCACGGTTTGCGGAAGTGTCTACTATAAATATATTAAAACTAAACCACTATCGTAAATTACAACACCATTCAAAGGTAAGGACTATTTGGTGAAATACCTTATGTGAGCTGAGAGATAATTGTCTGATTTAACTGTGCAGTATCGGGGTGTCAGATTTCAACAAAAAATAACCGGCTTCTAAAGGGTCGGGCAAACTGTACCGCTGTTTTCTTTTGGTAATGAGCATATCAGCCATAAAAAGCGTACAATATTCTGGTAATTGAGCTGTGCTAAATAAGCCATCAATATAGATTTGCTCATAATTGCTATAGGCCTACATTTAATAAGTTACAATGTGGATTGATGTTTGACATTGTTTTGAATAGGGTCAAAATGGGAAGCTTGCAAGACCCCAGTGCTTTGACAGCCAGACTGCAGAAGACCCTCATCTCTTACCACAGCATGGATGAGAATGAGTGGAGGGTAGCCAAGAAATCGGTGGGTGATACAGTATTTTCACAGTCTATTTAATCACCTCATATACTGTAGGCTCAAAAGTTAAAAGGAACTAAAACGATGTATACCACACACAATATGCTATCTTCAACCACTTAAACTTTAATTTCCTCCTAAACTCATTTTGTGTGTGCAGAACCGCACTTGTACCCGAATGTTTCTTCTGCTACTATGGGGTTTCCACTATCTTTATGTTTTTTGATCCTACATTGTAGAAAGATGTCATGGTATGGAGAAAGTCATCAGAGGAGTTTCATGGCTATCTGTAAGTATGGGCCTTCTTCAGTGGTGTAAAGTACTTAAGTAAAAATAAGTACTACTTATTACTTTTAAGTACTACTTAAGTTGCTTTTTTGGGTATCTGTACTTTACTTTACTATTTATATTTTTGACAACTTTTACTTTTACTCCACTACATTCCTAAAGAAAATAATTTACTTTTTACTCCATACATTTTCCCTGACACCTAAAATACTCGTTACATTTAGAGTGCTCAAGCAGGACAGAATTATGGCACCTATCAATATAACGCTTTGTCATCCCTAATGCCTCTGATCTGGTGGACTCACGAAACACAAATACTGTGTTTGTAAATGATGTCTGAGTGTTGGAGTGTGCCCCTGTCTGTCCGTAATAAAAAATTATATGAAAATCGTGCCGTCTGGTTTGCTTAATATAAGGAATTTGATGTATAGCATTTACTTTTACTTTGTACTTTTACTCAAGTATGACAATTGAGTACTTTTTCTACCACTGTACTTAAGTCGCTCTGGATAAGAGTGTCTGCTAAATGACGTAAATGTAAATGTTAAGTACATTTAAAACCAGATACTTTTAGACTTTTACTCAAGTAGTATTTTACTGGGTAGCTTTCACTTTTACTTGAGTCATTTTCTGTTAAGGTATCTTTACTTTTACTCAAGTATGAAAATTGAGTACATTTTCCACCACTGGCCTTCTTTCAGTAATGACCCTGGGCATAAAATCACACACATCATGCCTATATTCTGTGTTTTATCCATATTGCAGTCAATACATTCCCTTGAAAAAGAAAAAGGAACCCACTGGCCACATACGCCAATTAAACGTCTATTTCACGTTGGTTCAACATAATTTAATTGAAATGACGTGGAAACAACGTTGATTCAACCAGTGTGTACCCTGTGGGAAGGTTTATTTGTCTGATCTGATGTGTGATGGTTTTATCTTGCAGGTATAAAGCCCAGGGTATGGTCGACGATAACCCCAATAGAATAGTGGATTACATACGCCCTGGGCCTTATCGATTAGACTGGGATAGTTTGATGACAGCAATGGACATAATAGAAACCCTCGATCAGGTAAACCCATCATCACTTAAGTTCTCATTGATAACTTGATCAAATTACAAAAGTAGCTTATTTCTCTCATGAAGATACATGTAGACTGCACACAGATTTTTGTTTGTGTAATTCTTATTTTACCACACTTAAGTAGACCCACTGCCCTAAATATTACTCCATTGGTCAGAATAATGATATTCCATCTTCTTATTAGGTTATATATGAGGGCTTTGTCACAGTTAGCATGTTATCCCAAATGAATCAATGGCTAAGTGTATCTCTGTCTGTCTGCAGGGCTGTTGTGTGATGAGGTACGCTACTGCAGGCCAGCTGTGGAACATCATCGCTCCCAGAGAGTTCATTGATTTCTCCTACACCACAGACTACCAGGATGGCCTCTTGTCTTGCGGTGAGTAGCAATGTAGTGATGGAACCACAAGGGAAGGTAGCATAATGAATACAAAAGTGTTGTGTGTAAGGAGTCTGTTGTTCACTGCTTTCTTCTAATTACAGTATTAGTATCTAACTAAAATGCTGAATCCCAAACAGGCTCACAGGTTTGACATTTAAAGACTGTGATCCAGGAAATGTTTTCTGTGTAATAGCTCTGTGTCTGTGTAATAGCTCTGTGTCTGTGTAATAGCTCTGTGTCTGTGTAATAGTAATGTGTCTATGTAATAGTTCTGTGTCTGTGTAATAGCTCTGTGTCTGTGTAATAGTTATGCGTCTATGTAATAGTTCTGTGTCTGTGTAATAGTTCTGTGTCTGTGTAATAGTTCTGTGTCTGTGTAATAGTTCTGTGTCTGTGTAATAGCTCTGTGTCTGTGTAATAGCTCTGTGTCTGTGTAATAGCTCTGTGTCTGTGTAATAGCTATGTGTCTGTGTAGGTGTCAGTGTTTCCCTTTCTGTCCAATTTCCAAAGGTCATGGTTAACCAAAACATTGAAATTGTTCTAACCTTTAGGGAGTACTATTTTTAAATGGAAGGAGTATCTTTCCTTTCCACAAGCCTCATAGGTCTATATGCAGGGTCAACTTATATTAGGGAGAACCGGAAGTCCACTCCAGAAAGTTGTCTGACCACTGATTTCTTCTGTCTCCACTCTCCACCAGGTATCAGTGTGGAGCATGAGAAGCAGCACCAGAGTTATGTCCGGGGCTTCAACCACCCATGTGGCTGGTTCTGTGTGCCCACCCCAGACAGCACTACCACCCCAACCCAGAGCCTCCTGACAGGGTACATTCAGACAGACCTCCGGGGTATGATCCCCCAGTCTGCCGTGGACACGGCCATGGCCAGCACCCTCATCAACTTCTACAATGACCTGCGCAAGGCTCTGAAGAAGGCCTAACCAGTACTAGCCCGGTTGCCAGATTGGTTTATGCTTTAGCCAACTGTCGTATTTGTTGTTATACTGAATGTATGGGATGGCAAGGGAATTAAGGGGTTGGCTAAAGCACGTTCAAATCTGGCGACTAGGCTAAACCAATACATCCTAACAGCACTCCTTTTCAATACACCAATCGATTGATCAGTCAGTCTACACTCCACCCTCATAGAGGGCTACTGAGATCCAACTCCAATGCAGTCCAACTCAGCGTAGGATCCAGTTTAAGTCCCGTGTAGCTCAATTGGTAGAGCATGGCTATGGGCTCCCGAGTGGCGCAGCGATCTAAGGCACTGCATCTCAGTGCTTGAGGCGTCACTACAGACCCCCTGGTTCGATTCCAGGCTGTATCACAACCGGCCGTGATTGGGAGTCCCATAGGGCGGCGCACAATTGGCCCAGCGTCGTCTGGGTTTGGCCGGTGTAGGCCGTCATTGTAAATAAGAATTTGTTCTTAACTGACTTGCCTAGTTAAATAAAGGTTAAATAAAATAAAATAAAATGGCGCTTGCAACGCCAGGGTTGTGGGTTCGATTCCCACGGGGGGCCAGTATGATTTTTTTTTTTTATGCACTCACTAACTGTAAGTCGCTTTGGATAAGAGCGTCTGCTAAATGACTAAAATGTAAAAATTTAAAAAAAGTAAGTTGAAACAGGTAGGAGTTAAAGGACATGTGGTCTGACCTGGTCTGCTGCTCCCTGGACTTTGGAGTTGGGACCTGTTATTTGTCTGCTCTTTAAATCGTTATATAATACTGAAAATTGCTACGAGATTAAGGTAGTACACAAACACTAAAGCACTTGATCAATGTTTGCCTTTTTTGTTGATTTTTTTGCTGATTTTGGACAAACATCAAACGCACCCAACAAATTCAATCGTTGGGGGTAGATAGATACAAATTAAAGGTAGACAGACAGCCAATACAATCAATGTAATGTTACTTTTAGTTGGAAGTTACATGTGAAAGTATTTGCAGGACTGTATATTGGAATTTGACTGGTGCTAATATAAATTGGTGATGTCCAACAAATGTCTTCAACGATAGCTACCGGTAACAGTATCCAGCCAGACATGCATCTATCTGTTTACGTTTTTATAATAATAATTAACCGTATCTCTTTGGACTATGATAGATCTGCAGTAGATATCAGACACTGATTTGATATTTGTCCCAAATATACCTTGGTGAGGCAATAACAATGTCACTGCCAAACAAACTCCATGATAAAAAGAACAACACCAATAGGAGTAGGAAAGCCTTGTACTGTACACTAAAGGCCTCGTGTAAAATAGTTTGCCAGACATTTTTGAATTATTTTCACATCTGATGGATAACCAGCTCAATATCAAGTACAGCATATTATGAACACTGTAGATTGATGCATTCTTTTGAATTTCATGTGTGTTTGATTTGTATCCCTTCTTGCCTCCCTTAAATGATTGTTCTGTAATGTAACAGAAGGAAGAAATTGGATGCCACACATACTTTTTTTTTAATCCTTTACACCTCTCCCTATTGTTCCTTGCCTTAGGACTAAATAAACCTGAGAAGATTACTTAACAATTCCATACTGAACACAAATATAAACGCAACATATAACAATTTCAAAGATTTTACTGAGTTACAGTTCATATAAGGAAATCAGTCAATTGAAATAAATAAATTAGGCCGTAATCTATGGATGGGCCATGGGTGGTCCTGGGAGGGCATAGGCCCACCCACTTGGGAGCCAGGCTCACCCACTAGGGAGCCAGGCCCAGCCAATCAGAATGAGTTTTTCCCCACTAAAGGGCTTTATTACAGACAGAGTTTCATCAGCTATTCTGGTGGCTGGTCTCAGACGATCCTGCAGGTGAAGAAGCCAGATGTGGAGGTCCTGGGCTGGCGTGGTTACACATGGTCTGCGGTTTTGAGGCCAGTTGGACATACTGTGAAATTCTCTAAAACGATGTTGGAGGCGGGTTATGGTAGAGAAATGAACATTCAATTATCTGGCAACAGCTCTGGTGGACATTCCTGCAGTCAGCATGTCAATTGCACACTCCTGTGGCATTGTGTTGTGTGACAAAACTGCACATTTTAGAGTGGCCTTTTATTGTCCTCAGCACAAGGTGCACCTGTGTAATGATCATGCTGTTTAATCAGCGTCTTGATATGCCACACTTGTCAGGTGGATGGATTATATTGGCCAAGGAGAAATGCTCACTAAGGGATTCAAACAAACTTGTGCACACAATTTGAGAGAAATAAGCTTTTTGTGCATCTGAAAAATGTCTGGGATCTTTTATTTCAGCTCATGAAACATGCACCAACACTTTACATGTTGCGTTTATATTTTTGTTCAGTATATTTTCTAAGTTTGATAAACAAAAAAACAAAACAATGAAAGATATTCTTGCTAGGACAAGCAGCCCCTAGCCAGATAGTAGTAGTGTTATTTATTTCCAGTTATTGTTAGTTAGTTAAGTTATTGTATGCTACTGTAAATGCTGTAATATTTCATCAGGGTAGGGATGTAATGTATCCCTTGTAGTATTTATTTTAGAGTACAATACAAAGAAACATGCTCTGCTTTGCCCTTTATAATTTTGGAATTCTTCATAATTCTTCTCATGTGATTCAAGATGTCCATTCTTATGTATATTAAAGTTAAGTTAATTAAAGTACTGTCTTCATGTCTCACCCCATCGCCCTTTCTTGGTCAAATGTTGGGTATGAATCTTGTCATTAAAGGAACACTCCTTTTACTTCTGTTTCCACCACTGTAATCATTTGTGTTTGGAAACCGGTAAACACAAATGTTATCAATCAAATCAAATTTATTTTATTTAGCAGTTGTGCTTTACAGATACCTAGCCTTAAACCCCAAAGAGCAAGCAATGCAGATGCAGAAACACAGTGGCTAGGAAAAACTCCCTAGAAGGCAGAAACCTAAGAAGCAGTGGAGGCTGCTGAGGGGAGAATGGCTCATAATAATGGCTGAAAAGGAGCAAATGGAATGGCATCAAACAATGTTTGATACAATAAGGGCGCAACTTTGGTTTTAGAAGTGGGGGGGGGCATAACTTTTTTATATAAATATATTTATTTTTTAATCCAGTCGGATAAACACTCCAAACAGCCTACCCGACAATTTAGAGGCGTCCGCATGATCCTAAAGCACACCGTTGCCTCGTTTTCTATGACATTATTACATTTACATCATTTAGCAGACGCTCTTATCCAGAGCGACTTACAAATTGGTGCATTCAATTTATGATAGCCAGTGGGACAACCACTTAAAAAAATAAAAAAATGTATGCGGGAGAGGGGAAGAAGGATTACTTTATACTATTCCAGGTATTCCTTAAAGAGGTAGTGTTTCAAGTGTCTCCGGAAGGTGGTCAGTGACTCCGCTGTCCTGGCGTCGAGGGGGAGCTTGTTCCACCATTGGGGTGCCAGAGCAGCGAATAGCTTTGACTGGGCTGAGCGGGAACTGTGCTTCCGTAGAGGTAGGTTAGCTAGCAGGCCAGAGGTGGATGAACGTAGTGCCCTCGTTTGGGTGTAGGGTCTGATCAAAGCCTGAAGGTAAGGAGGTGCCGTTCCCCTCACAGCTCCGTAGCTAAGCACCATGGTCTTGTAGTAGATGCGAGCCTCAACTGGAAGCAAGTGGAGTGTGCGGAGGAGCGGGGTGACATGAGAGAACTTGGGAAGGTTGAACACCAGACGGGCTGCAGCGTTCTGGATAAGTTGTAGGGGTTTAATGGCACAGGCAGGGAGCCCAGCCAACAGCGAGTTGCAGTAATCCAGACGGGAAATGACAAGTGCCTGGATTAGGACCTGTGCCGCTTTCTGTGTAAGGTAGGGTCGTACTCTGCGAATGTTGTAGAGCATGAACCTGCAGGATCGGGTCACCGCTTTGATGTTAGCGGAGAACGACCAGGTGTTGGCCAGAGTCACGACAAGGTTCTTTGCACTCTAGGAGGAGGACACAATGGAGTTGTCAACCGTGATGGCGAGATCATGGAACGGGCAGTCCTTCCCCGGGAGGAAGAGTAGCTCCGTCTTGCCGAGGTTCAGCTTGAGGTGGTGATCCGACATCCACACTGATATGTCTGCCAGACATGCAGAGATGCGATTCGCCACCTGGTTATCAGAAGAAAATTAATTGTGTGTCGTCTGCGTAGCAATGATAGGAGAGACCATGTGAGGATATGACAGAGCCAAGTGACTTGGTGTATAGGGAGAATAGGAGAGGGCCTAGAACTGAGCCCTGGGGGACACCAGTGGTGAGAGCACGTGGTGTAGAGACAGATTCTCGCCACGCCACCTGGTAGGAACGACCTGTCAGGTAGGACGCAATTTAAGAGTGAGCAGTGCCGGAGATGCCCAACTCAGAGAGGGTGGAGAGGAGGATCTGATGGTTCACAGTATCAAAGAGACAGCATGCTCAAGAGTTTTGGAGAGAAAAGAAAGAAGGGATACTGGTCTGTAGTTGTTGACATCGGAGGGATCGAGTGTAGGTTTTTTGAGGAAGGGTGCAACTCTCGCTCTCTTGAAGACGGAAGGGACATGGCCAGCGGTCAAGGATGAGTTGATGAGCGAGGTGAGGTAAGGGAGAAGGTCTCCGGAAATGGTCTGGAGAAGAGAGGAGGGGATAGGGTCAAGCGGGCAGGTTGTTGGGCGGCCGGCCGTCACAAGTTGCAAGATTTCATCTGGAGAGAGAGGGGAGAAAGAAGTCAAAGCATAGGGTAGGGCAGTGTGAGCGGGACCAGTGGTGTCATTTGACTTAATAAATGAGGATCGGATGTCGTCAACCTTCTTTTCAAAATGGTTGACGAAGTCATCCACAGAGAGGGAGGTGGGAGGGGGAGGAGGAGGAGGATTCAGCAGGGAGGAGAAGGTCGCAAAGAGTTTCCTAGGGTTAGAGGCAGAGGCTTGAAATTTAGAGTGGTAGAAAGTGGCTTTAGCAGCGGAAACAGAGGAAGAGAATGTAGAGAGGAGGGAGTGAAAAGATGACAGGTCCACAGGGAGTCTAGTTTTCCTCCATTTCCGCTCGGCTGCCCGGACGGAGCCCTCTTCTGTGAGCTCGCAATGAGTCGTCAAGCCACGGAGCTGGAGGGGAGGACCGAGCCGGCCGGGAGGATAGGGGACATAGACAGTCAAAAGATGCAGAAAGGGAGGAGAGGAGGGTTGAGGAGGCAGAATCAGGAGATCGGAGGGAGAAGGATTTAGCAGAGGGAAGAGATGATAGGATGGAAGAGGAGAGAGTAGCGGGAGAGAGAGAGCGAAGGTTGCGACGGCACATTACCATCTGAGTAGGGGCAGAGTGAGTAGTGTTGGACAAGACCGAGAGAGAAAAGGATACAAAGTAGTGGTCGGAGACTTGGAGGGGAGTTGCAGTGAGATTAGTAGAAGAACAGCATCGAGTAAAGATGAGGTCAAGCGTATTGCCTGCCTTGTGAGTAGGGGGGACAGTGAGAGGGTGAGGTCAAAAGAGGAAAGGAGTGGAAAGAAGGAGGCAGAGAGAAATGAGTCAAAGGCAGACGTAGGGAGGTTAAAGTCACCCAGAACTGTCAGGGGTGAGCCATCCTCAGGAAAGGAACTTATCAAGGCGTCAAGCTCATTGATGAACTCTCCAAGGGAACCCGGAGGGCGATAAATGACAAGGATGTTAAGCTTGAATGGGCTAGTGACTGTGACAGCATGGAATTCAAATGAGGAGATAGACAGATGGGTCAGGGGAAAAAGAGAGAATGTCCACTTGGGAGAGATGAGGATTCCTGTGCCACCGCCGTGCTGACAAGATGCTCTCGGGGTATGCGAGAACACATGGTCAGACGAGGAAAGAGCAGTAGGAGTAGCAGTGTTTTCTGTGGTAATCCATGTTTCCGTCAGCGCCAAGAAGTTGAGGGACTGGAGGGTAGCATAGGCTGAGATGAACTCTGCCTTGTTGGCCGCAGAACGGCAGTTCCAGAGGCTGCCGGAGACCTGGAACTCCACGTGGGTCGTGCGCGCAGGGACCACCAAATTAGAGTGGCAGCAGCCACGCGGTGTGAAGCGTTTGTATGGCCTGTGCAGAGAGGAGAGAACAGGGATAAACAGACACATAGTTGACAGGCTACAGAAAAAGGCTACAATAATGCAAAGGAGATCGGAATTAAATGAACTAAACATCTGGGAAAGCGAGAGAGCGGGGCCTCCCTCACTTACGTTTCACTGAAACACTCAAATATAACTCTCCCAACTTCCACTTTAGAAATTATAATTGTTGTAAACTACAGCGGTTCAATGTTTTCTAGGAATATACTCTAAATTAGTTTATTCAGCTAGCTAACTTGGTACAGTATTCTTCCGTGAAAACCTTCCAGGGCACCGAATCCTATGACGCCATAGCCAACTAGCATGCCAGCCTCCAATAACACGGTTTATCACCAATACTCGGTTACAACAAACCACCAGTGTGTTAACACGCCAAACAGATCATTCGTGTCCGTGTCTAACGTTGTGTAAAGTTTTGGGTTAGTTTTGACAGTTTGAGTGAGTACGTCGTCAACTTATTCAGCCAGTTAGTTAGCTAGAATAGTTAACATACTAGCTAGCCATTGCTCTCTGCCAACGAACGAACCCCTCCTCCCACGGCACGAAACACACAGAGAGAGCCAAGCTAACGTTAACTAGTCACCCATGTCCCGAATTCCCTTGAACGACTCTGGTTACCAGTATGTAAAAACAAAACAAAAATAAATGTAGGTTATAACTTACCCTTAGTAGCTACTGTTAGCCAGTTAAGTGCAAAGCTAGCCACTGAATCGATTCAGCCAGTTCGCGTCTGTCCCAACGGAGAGAAAGCGTCTCCAAATATTACAGCTAGGTCTTTCCAGCTATTGTTTAGTTAGCTATCCAGGTAGCAACAAGCTAGCTACATTTCGAGTACAGTAGCTACTAACTACCTAACGTTAACGCTTCAGATAATGAGGTTAGAAAAACAGCTGAATGGTAGGTAGCTAGCTGGCATAATTACAGGTACTCTTAAGCGTGAAATAACATTGGAAACAACTATCCACAGTTGCTAATAGTTACATTCCAATGATAAAACTGGGGGGGACAAAAATGCAATTTCAGTGGAAGTTGCGCCCCTGGATATAATTGATACCATCCCACTAATTCTGCTCCAGTCATTACCATAAGCCCATTCTCCCCAATTAAGGTGTCACCAACCTCCTGTTCTGAGAAGAAAAGAACCAGAGAGGAACCAGGCACCGAGGGGTGGTCAGTCCTCTTCTGGCTGAACCAGGTGGAGATTTAAGAGTACATTAAGAGTACATTAAGGCCAGATCTTTTTTCAAGAAGTGTAAATGTTTATAGATGACCAGCAGGGTCAAATAATAACTATGATGTCTATAGAGGGTGCAAGAGTTCAACACTTCAGGAATGGGCTCACTGTGGGTGAAAAGAGAAATGAATATGACATGACTGTTCTGTCCATGTGTGTCAGATTTGCCTGAGAAAATACTCTTGTTACTCTCAATATTCACATATTTAAAATGCTCTATAGTTTGCATAATATACTCTTATTGTTTTGTGCAGCATGTCTGCCCCTTGGTGGTCAGCTAATGGATGTTCCGCACTTATTCAATTGTGCAAGTGCTGTACAGTCGTGGTCAAAAGTTTTGAGAATGACACAAGTATTGGTCTTCACAAAGTTCGCTGCTTCAGTGTTATGAGATATTTTTGTTAGATGTTACTATGGTATACTGAAGTATAATTACAAGCATTCCATAAGTGTCAAAGGCTTTTATTGACAATTACATTAAGTTTATGCAAAGAGTCAATATTTGCAGTGTTGACCCTTCTTTTTCAAGACCTCTGCAATCCGCCTTGGCATGCTGTCAATTAACTTCTGGGCCACATCCTGACTGATGGCAGCCCATTCTTGCATAATCAATGCTTGGAGTTTGTCAGAATTTGTGGGTTTTTGTTTGTCCGCCCGCCTCTTGAGGATCGACCACAAGTTCTCAATGGGATTAAGGTCTGGGGAGTTTCCTGGCCATGGACCCAAAATGTTGATGTTTTGTTCCCCGAGCCACTTAGTTATCACTTTTGCCTTATGGCAAGGTGCTCCATCATGCTGGAAAAGGCATTGGTCATCACCAAACTGTTCTTGGATGGTTGGGAGAAGTTGCTCTCTGAGGATGTGTTGTTACCATTCTTTATTCATGGCTGTGTTCTTAGGCAAAATTGTGAGTGAGCCCACTCCCTTGGCTGAGAAGCAACCCTACACATGAATGGTCTCAGGATGCTTTACTGTTGGCATGACACAGGACTGATGGTAGCGCTCACCTTGTCTTCTCCGGACAAGGTGTTTTCCAGATGCCCCAAACAATCGGAAAGGGGATTCATCAGAGAAAATGACTTTACCCCAGTCCTCAGCAGTCCCAATCCCTGTACCTTTTGCAGAATATCAGTCTGTCCCTGATGTTTTTTCCTGGAGAGAAGTGGCTTCTTTGCTGGCCCTTCTTGACACCAGGCATCCTCCAAAATCTTCGCCTCACTGTTCATGCAGATGCACTCACACATGCCTGCTGCCATTCTCGAGCAAGCTCTGCACTGGTGGTGCCCCGATCCCGCAGCTGAATCAACTTTAGGAGACGGTCTGACGATTGCTGGACTTTCTTGGGCGCCCTGACGCCTTCTCACACAATGAACTCCCCTTGAAGTTCTGAACCAAAAATGGTATTGCTAGATCTTCTGCAATCCTACCTGAGCCCTTTTTGTGCAAGCATGATGACGGCACATGTTTCTTGCAGTCATGGTAAAAAGATGATCCAGCACCACCTCTTTTAAGGTGGTTTTATCTAATCATCAGCATGAATGACTCCAGCCTTGCTCGTCATCTCTCACTAGTACGAAGCGAATGAGGCGTGGTCCTTTGAGGCAGGCTGACTGAGTGAAATGTTTTTGGGATAAGTTCATTTTCATTTTGCCTTAATGTATACAACTCTCAGACATTCGGAGTAAGCAATGCATCATAAAAACGAGGCGCCGACTTTGTGAAATAGATTGTGTATTCTCTAACTTTGCGAGTACTTGTCAAATCACCATCGTAGGATTAGGTGCCTGATTCTGATTGATGTGTGGCATGATAGCAATGAATCGGATGATACGATTTAGAACCATGACAGGCATAATGATGATCTGTTGACCCATGGACTGTTGGGGTCTTAGTGAGTGAAGTTTTTTCGAGTGTTTATCATGCACGGTTGTGTGGGATTGCGGGTACGTGAAATCTTAGTTGTGTGAGGAACAGTCTCCTCGAAACTGTTTCGTTAATGGCCGACACTTTAGCTGAACCTGGTCCTTGAGTTGCACACACATTGGTTGGGTATGTTTTTTCATCTTAGCCATGCGTGTCTTCCAACTAGCAAGGCAACAGCACGTTTTATGGAACGTCGATACCAGACTATGCATCAGGGATTTGTTATGAGCCTAGACGCTCATATTAATCCAGAGCAACTTACAGTTAGTGAGTGGATACACATTTTTCATAATGGCCCCCTGGGGAACTCGTGGGAATCGAACCACTTACCCAGTGCAGCGTGTGCACAGCGCCCATGGCTTGATGCATATTTTCATACTGAGCCCCTGGGGTCGACCCACAACCTGCGTGCAAGCGGCATGCCTACAAAGCTAAGGAGGGTGTCCTTTGTCAGTTTATTTGATCATAGGAAATCACAACATCCCTGCAGCAAGAGAGAGAAAGGGAGAGAAAGACAGACTGTGAGAATTAAGGGAAATTAAAAAAAGAGAGATAAACAGTGATAGGCTACGTCTAGGCTGTGTGCCTTCACTATCGATACCCAGTCATAAATTAGTCATCAGTATCACTTCCCTGTAGGGTGATCTTTTTCCACACAGTCCTCTAGTCTAATTGCAGGTGCGCTCGATTTGGCTGATCTGACGAGCCAGTGGGTGGACATTGCACTTTAGTACAAATAAATGGGCCACCCGGTGTGCCGGGACAGCTAAATCGCGCTCACTTTCTTGGCTTGCTGCTACAGGTAGATCGTACTTTTTCGACTGACGTCACTCCCAGGGATGGGCTTGTCACGTGGTTAAAGTCTGCGCTATCTAGTGGAAAACAACCTCTGAGCTCATGTGCTGCAACGAAAAAAATAGGGAGAAAAACTACTGGAGAAAACAAGCTAATTTAGCAGGGGCAAAGGTAAGCGCAAACTATTTCAACAATGCGCTCTAATAATCAAACGTTTTGTAAATGACCACGTAGACATAAGTCTAGAGCTTTACCATAAAATATTCAGGCGCTACTTTTCACTCCAGTGGTGTCGGAGAAGGGAACAAAGTTTCTAATTCGTCGCAACGACTGCATTCGGATAGCCTATTGCCGATAGCCTTACCAAATGCATATCCCACTCATACGTCCAAGTAGGTTATAAGCATATCTTTATTATTAAATGCGACAAACTAAATCCAACATTCACAGACACTGAAAAGGTAGATTGAACTGCCATTACAGCGAACGAGCCCTTTGAAACAACTGAGCCAGGGGTGCTGGAAACAATATACTGTATCAAGTTATCTTTTGTTTCAAGTCAAGTGATTATGTAATAAGCAATAATATAAATATTCGTATGGTAGACCTAATTATTCCTGTCTTTCAATGGTTGTTTTACTTCACCTGTGAAATAATCTGTCATGTTTTTGTTTATCGTGTTATTGATATTTTAAATGGTTTGCTTTCACAAATTGCAGGGCAATTCAAAATGCATTTTCAACAATTAAAAGGCATTGTTTTATTATTTGTTTTATCAGTAGGCTATAATGATATAGTGCTTTAGCCCCGGGCTACTCTTTTCCAAACAGTAAATAGCCATCTGTCATCATCAAGTGCTCCTTTTGGTCCAATATTCTGAACCTGATATTCTAATCGTTATACAGTACTTTAAGTCAAATTTAACTTACCACCTCGATGATTTTGGAGACTTGCATTTTTTGTAAATTACATAGTATGTGTATCCATAGAGTGTGTGTTAAACCCAAAGACTCGTCTTTATCTCTGCAGGTGATTCCTGGATGTATGTATGATCTGTATGTCCAGACAAGGTTTGCACTCTGACCTGCAAGCCAATGTAAGTCGTGCTAAGTGACTGCGTGTGAAAGAGGTATTCCAACACAGTATGTTCATTTATCATCATCTAATAACATAATTTATCCTCTCAGATTGAAGGTGGCATGCTGGCTGATGATCATCAAGAATATATTTTTGTGCCACATCTACTAGTAATTAAGCAACACTTGGCTGACTGTCCAACCCTTACAAAAAAGATAGCAGTTTTGAAACTGCAGTAAAAGTGCAGTAACTGCAGTCGACTGTGGTATTTTGGACGCTGTAATTGCAGAATAACTGCAGTGTACTGCAGTTGAACTGCAAAATTACTGCAGAAAAAAAAACAATGTTATTTTGGACGCAGTATTTGCAGCATACTGCAGTTATACTGCACTCTGACTGCAAACTTTTTTCGTAAGGGAAATCACTCCAGTACTCAATAGTCTAATGTAGGCTAGCCTATTTGCCCACTTCCTTATTTAGTTGTGGCACAAAAAGGTGTTCCTGACTCAACTTGCACTCATTCATTGGGACTTTTTAGGGTGTTTTCACATATAGTCTGATCGCAGTCCTCTTTTAAAGTGCTAAATAACTCAGTTCTCTTTGTATTCGCACTGCCCTTGCCTTTGAATGAGGACTCAACTCTTTTGCCAGTTCACTTCAACTATTTTGTGGACCGAGTCCTCTTTGCATTCACATTGCTATGTTTAGAAAGGAACCAAGATATTTCTCCAACATGCACTCAGGGTTTTTACAAAGAGCAGGACAAGCCATTCAATCAGAATGCGTTATCGGACAGCTAGATATACCTACTTACATTTTGGAAGCTAATAGATTGCATTTACTGAAAATATGAAACATAATAATTGTAATCAAAATATACTGTTAACATGTACATTTGATTTGTAATAGAATAAATAGCAATAGAGTAACTGCAGAATAAATAATGCTGTTATTGAAAATTGTACACTCAAGGTAGGCTACTGCCCCTTTAAGAACTAGAATAGATTTTGTACCCTATGTTGTGATTCTCACCAAATATGTTGTCTTCTCACACTATTCATACCCCACAATCAATAAACAGCTTATGAAGCTCTCTTAGCCTATAGATCACATATTGCAAACAAATAATCTGAACTAAAAACCACACATTTTGCAATTTCTGTGCGTCCTTGACAATCGCTAATCAATATCCTAAAACAGCACACATTTTTTCTGTGAACCTGCACATCATCATATTCTCTCTTTTGTGGCACCAATATGAGGGGTTATGGCAGGGGAAACGGTGTTGCAGTAGTCTAGTGTGTGGTGCAGGAATAATGACAAGCGAACCTGGGGAGTGTTGCGTTCACATTGTCCTAAAAATGGGAACCGGACTGCACAATTCAAGCAAACCGAACTCAGACCACCTCTTGAGATGGTCTCAGTTTGGTTCGCTTTGGTTGCTCTTTTGAGGGGTCTGAGTTTCTTTGGAGTGTTCACACTGCACAAAAACTAAGCAAACTGCACTGAGTAAAACAAAAATTGGCTGAAAGGGACCAAGTGTGAAAACACCCTTAGTGCAGGTACTCCAGTTCTCTACCATTCTTGATGACCTTTGGTTTAGGGTTCAATTTCTATGGCGCTTGGGTCAGCATATAGGGTTGGGCTGGTGTCTATGGTTTGAGATAACATTCCATTGTGCATGTTTGGATGCTGTTATCAGTGGTATGCCTGTTTTTAAGTTTGGGATCTGGGAATAGTTGTTTTGACACATTTCCTGCTTCTGCTTTCCTCATTTATTGTGCTCTTGTATTCTCTTCTCGCTCTACTTATTTCATCATCATGCCAATCATCCTAAAAGCTTTTTAATACTTTTGTGAAATATAAAACGTTTTGATATTTAGCTGTTTTGAAAAGGGCACTATAACTTTTGTGTGTGTACACGTGTGTGTGTGTGTGTGTGTGTGTGTGTGTGTGTGTATGCGGGTATGTGTGTGCAGGGCTCATCTCTTTCCCCATGTCCTCTGGAGGAGGTCCCTACGGCCGCACTGAGCGTGTCCGTCATGAACCCCACTACGACCAGGTCCCACCAGGCTCCCTACGCCGAGACGACCCCTTTGACCTTCAACCCTTGAGGTACCAGCGGAGCACCGAACTAGCCCTGAGCTCTGATCCCCTTCCGCCCCCTCCCCTGCCCCACCACCCCCCTGTGGGGCCTGAGTATGACCCCAGCGTCAGTGAGGACAACCCAGACCCTGACCCAAATCCAGACCTCGAACTAGACCCTGACCTCGACCCTGCCCTCGACATCAAACCGGTCCACCGTTTCATCCCTGACTCTTGGAAGAGCTTCTTCCGAGGGACCAGCCTCCGCAGCAGCAAGCCCTGCCCCATGCCTGCCTCTGCCTCTGCCTCTCCCTCCTCCTCCTCCTCTAACAACAACAACAGCACCAGTGGCGGGGTGCGCTGCTCGCCCCCGCACTCGCCCTCCCTGCCCAGATCCTACCGGGACCCCTATGGGGGGTCGGGGGGAAGCAGCTACAACTCCCGCAAGGAGCTCCTGGGAGTGGGCGACCACCAAGAGTCCATTTCGGGACGCACGCTCCGCACGGCACTTACCTACGGCGAGCGGGTGGAAGAGTACCACGAGCGCTACGGCTACATGAAGTCCTGGGCGGGCCTGCTGAGGATTCTGGGATGCGTGGAGCTGCTGCTGGGCGCAGCTGTGTTTGCCTGCGTGTGCGCGTACGTGCACAAGGACAACGAGTGGTTCAACATGTTTGGCTACTCCTCGCCTGGAAGTGCATATGGAGGCTACGGAGGGGGGATGTACGGAGCGGGCACCGGAGGGTCCTACTACTCGGGTCCTCAGACCCCGTTTGTGTTAGTTGTGGCGGGGCTGGCCTGGATAGTGACTGTGATATTGTTGGTGATAGGGATGACTATGTACTACCGCACCATCCTACTGGACTCCTCCTGGTGGCCCCTGACTGAGTTTACTATAAACCTGGCCATGGCCGTGCTCTACATGGCTGCAGGTGGGTGGGAAATGAACTAAACACTTTAGAGAAAGTATGAGAATGCAATGCTATATTAATGCAAACTATGATGATGGTTACTATTATGATGATACTTGTAACACCAGTGTTGTGGTTGATTCCAGCATGGGCCATACATTTTATAATAATATTCAATAACTTCGTTGTCTCTTGGATAAAAGTATTTACTAAATTACTATACTACTATCATTATTAGCTGTAGTCTACGTCAGGGACACCACCCGGGGCGGTCTCTGCTCCCTTCCCATCTTCAACAATGGCATCAACGGGGCTTTCTGCCGCACCGAGGCCGGACAGACAGCCGCCATCATCTTTCTGTTCGTCACCATGCTGATCTACCTGATCGGGGCCATTGTGTGTCTGAAGTTGTGGAGGCACGAGCAGGCACGCATGTACCGGGAGAAGTACGGCCTGGAGGTGAGATTGTGTGGGTGTGTGCTTGAGGTACATGGAAAATTTAGGACTGAGAAGAAAGTTAGACACACTCACATCAATGTAAGTTGCAGGCAAGTAACACAAATAATATACTCTGTGAATACATATTATTTGCATTCATTGGTGTCTGACTCAGAAAGTCCAGCAGTTGATGCAAGCTTGGCAGTGAAAATAAAGCTAATCTGAGTCAAAAGTGAGTGAACCACTACACTAATGAGAAAGGGTGAGAGGAGTGTGAATGAGTGCATGTGCACGTTCACACTAAGTGATGGTCCACTGAGAGAACATTGTTCATTAGTGGATGGGGGTTGCCGTGGTAGCTTGCTATGTTGTATGTTCATTGCTAGGCAGCTCAGGTACCACTTGTTCTATCGCTTTCATTCAGTTCTCATGTAAGGAAGAAAATCTGTTCTAGTTATGAAAACATTGGAGCAATAGTTTTTGGTAACGTTTTATGTGGATAGTCCATCTGTAGATGCTCTACAAACTCAGGAACATTTCAACTATCTACTAACTCTAACCTTAACCCTCACCCTAACCCTTATTCTAGAACTAACCTTAACCCATTCTAGAACTAACCTTAACCCTTACCCTAACCCTTATTCTAGAACTAACCTTAACCCTTACCCTTATTCTAGAACTAACCTTAACCCTTACCCTTATTCTAGAACTAACCTTAACCCTTACCCTAACCATTATTCTAGAACTAACCTTAACCCTTACCCTAACCCTTATTCTAGAACTAACCTTAACCCTCACCCTAACCCTTATTCTAGAACTAACCTTAACCCTCACCCTAACCCTTATTCTAGAACTAACCTTAACCCTCACCCTAACCCTTATTCTAGAACTAACCTTAACCCTTACCCTGACCCTTATTCTAGAACTAACCGTAACCTTAACCCTTACCCTAACCCTTATTCTATAACTAACCTTAACCCTCACCCTTCCCTTATTCTAGAACTAACCATAACCTTAGCAAGCAGTTGCTTATCAACAGATAGTTTGACCATCTGCACAGTATCTACATATGGACTATCCGGACTATCCAAATCAATTGTGACCTAGTCTTTCTATATGGTATATACACTGAGTATACAAAATATGCTCTTTCCATGACATAGACTGATCAGGTGAATCCAGGTGAAAGCTATGATCCCTTATTGATGTCACTTGTTAAATCCACTTCAATTAGTGTAGATGAAGGGGAGGAGACAGGTTAAAGAATGCTTTTTAAGCCTTGAGACATGGATTGTGTATGTGTGCCATTCAGAGGGTGAATGGGCAAGACAAAAGATTGAAGTGCCTTTGAACAGGGTATGGTAGTAAGTGCCAGGTGCACTGGTTGTATCAAGAACTGCAACGCTGCTGCGTTTTTCATGCTCAACAGTTTCCCATGTGTATCAACAATGGTCCACCACCCAAAGGACATCCAGCCAACTTGACACAAATGTGGGAAGCATTGGAGTCAACATGGACCAGCATCCCTGTGGAACGCTTTTGACACCTTGTAGAGTACATGCCCCCGACGAATTGAGGCTGTTCTGAGGACAAAAGGGGGGGGTGCAACTCAATATTAGGAAGGTGTTCATAATGTTTTGTACACTCAATGTATATGTACTTATAGTACATCAATATAAGCTCTACATTTTTGTGCAGAAGTGTAATTTTAGACTTACACAACTTCTGTTTTGTTATTACGCAGATGCACACGACAGATTTCCCTGCGGCACGGTCTTTGGTAAGCGTTTACCGCTGAGCTTAATGTTTTTATTTATGGCTTAATGCCTAGAAAGAAAGATATGGTGTTGATCAGCTCCTTACAGTGTTACACATACTCCAGTTACAATCATGGTTTATATATTTCTATGGTTCTGTCTTTGTTCTTCTTTCTCCCAGATGCCGGTTCCAGATCCCGGGCCCAGGGTTCCAGAGCGAATTCAGGGTTCTACTGTGGTTCCCATCCAGGCTGCGGTACCCAAGGCAGGGCCACCGAAGGTTCTACAGGGAGCTATCCCTTCTGGACACATCCCCAAACCAGTTATCATGCCTGACTATATAGCGTGAGTGACTCCTTCACACACAGGGCAGTGGGATAGTAGTTGATACAGGGGTTTTATTGATAGAATTCAACCACCACGTTCAAATCTGAATTTGGTTTCTTTGAAAGCTTTCAGGGAATGCACAGAGATTGCATTGGTGCATGGAATTATGCTCAGGATGCTAAATTATCAGGGCAAATATCTGCCCTGTTATGTTAAGTGGGTGGAAAAAAGGACAGTCAATCTAGCACGAAGGTAGAATGTGTTATGTGCAACGCTTACTGAGTCCTCTGGCGGTATTGTAAGTAGAATGTTTACGTTATGGTTTACGAGTGGTTTACATGCTCTGGCACCCCAATGGTGGAACAAGCTCCCCCACGACGCCAGGACAGCGGAGTCACTGACCACCTTCCGGAGAGACTTGAAACCCTACCTCTTTAAGGAATACCTGGAATAGTATAAAGCAATCCTTCTACCCCCCACCCCCCCGTAAAAAAAAAGAAGAAAAAAAGTGGTTGTCCCACTTGCTATCATCATAAGTTGAATGCACCAATTTGTAAGTCGCTCTGGATAAGAGCGTCTGCTAAATGATGTAAATGTAAATGTATAATGTCATATGGGCTGATTGTACCTCCCACTAAACAAAAACCATGAGCCATATGCAAATTCAAGCTCTGCCTAACCAGTCTAGACAGGAATTGTAATTTTATTTCTCTGGCAAATCCTAACTTAGAGGCAAATCTTAAGCGTTCAGGAGTAAAATGGCTTCTTTTCTGTTTTTGATCCCACTCATTTTCACCACTCGTAGTGAGCAATGTTGAAATATCCTTTGTTGTTTTTATCACTCCCATAATAATGATTCTGTTTGTTCTTACCCCTCCTATAATCATTAAGCCTGTTTAAGTTTAGCACATCCTGTGGAGTAAGTGCCCTGAATGTGAGCTTTCTAGGCAACACTTTACATTGAGTTGTCCTAATGCCATGCAACTATTTTAGTACTCAGAATGTAATTACCCAGTTCTGCATGGTAAGTAAGTACAGATTAGGTTACATTGAATAGTAATAGAATAGAAAATTGTGTTTCTAATTAGTAAAGGGTTGTAGTAACTGTGTATTTACATTGACAACAAGAACTGTATACCTTAATAATACATTTTGTAAAGTTAATACATTGCAGTAATACATTTTATTTATATAAAGTGTGACTGATCTCTGTTTCATTGTAGTAAGTAGGCTACCCTGTCTTATTTCTAGTGCTGTTGTTGGAAGTAAAGTTACACTGTCTTGCCTTGGAGGAAGTCCCCTTTGCTTTCTGCCTCTGGTGTTAATGAATCATCTGTTCCTCCGCTACCCACTCTCTTCCCCCCTGCAGTAAGTACCCAACCATCTGTACAGTCGATGAGCGTGACCAGTACCGGGCTGTGTTCAATGACCAGTACTCTGAGTACAAGGAGCTCCACGCTGATGTGCAGGCCACCACCAGGAAGTTTGACGAGCTGGACGCCATGATGCGTGCCCTACCCCAGCACCCCAACAGTCAGATGGTGATTGGCCACGTCCTGCTGTTACGCAACCACACATTCACTTCCTGTTTATTGTTTTTGTTATTTTCTCGTTGATCGCATCTCATTGATCTAAGTGGCTTCCTCTCTCCTTGTCTGCTGGAATTAACACTGATATTAAAAGAACTGGATAGGTGAAAGGAAATGCCATTATAAACGTCAGCCATATTGCTTTCACCTAGCATGTTTTCAGATCAGTGCTGATGGAGACAATGAGAGGGAGCCATATTGAGAATATCAACATTCACTAAATAGTTGTTTGTTCTGCTCTCATTGTGGTGCTCTGCCTCATTTCCTTGAATCCTCCCCCTCTATTTCCTCTCTCCTGTACTTCTCATCCACCCTCCACTTCCTCTCAAAGCCATCAAACTGTACTTTAGATTCCTGAAGTTTCCTGATTTCTGAACTCATTACAATCTTGCATTATCTTTTTTTCACCAGGAGTATGACCGCGTAAACAAAATCCTTCAGGAGTACCAGAGGAAGAAAAATGTGAGTTTGTCCCCTGCCTTTCTCTCAATCATTCAGCTGCCCATATTGTATCAGTGGCCTACTCCAATTGGCCCTATATTCAGATTAAAAGACCTCTCCTTGTAACTGAAGCACCATTAGCAGACAAGGTGTAGTAAACCACCTTTGTGCCAGTGTTTGATAATCTATACAGCCACTGTGGGAAAGATGACTCAAGCCTGAGTGGGCAGAGAGAGGAAGTGTGTGTGTGTTGGTTCTTCTATCCTTGTGGGTCCTTAAAATCCCCCAATGTCCCCACAAGGATAGTAAAACAAGGAAAATTCTCCCTCGTGGGGACATTTCCCATGTCCCAATGAGGACATTGGCTATTTTAAATGTAGGGGTTAGGGTTACAATTAGGATTATAATTAGGGTTAGGTTAAGGGGTTAGTGGTTAGGTTTGGATTAGGGTTAGGGCAAATATGATTTTTGAAGGAAATTCATTTTAGGTCCTGACGAGGATAGAAGAACATAAGGTGTGTGTGCATGTGTTCCGGCATGAGTGAGACGGAGAGGGAGAGAGGGAGTATCGAATTTCCTTGCAAACCTCACATGAATGGGCTCATTGTGTTTCCTCAACCTAGAGTTAGAGGAAACGGCATCACTACATATTCAGCACAGTGCTGATAGTCTCTATTATTTTCTTCAGGGAAAACACACAAGCTGAACTTGTATAAAAAAAGTAGTAATAAGCTTCTTCTCCCTGGCACTCTCTACTAACTCACAAAGTTGTTTAATATCAGAATTCTCCATGCTTGAATGCCAGAGTTCTACATATGGCATGTTATTGGCTTTACATTGTCTTTTTGACATTTGACACAGAGCTAATTCATATGCATTATGCTTTGCCCATAAGAGATCTTCTGCCATGCAATGATGCATATGCCAGTAACTCTTTAAACTGGACTTTGATTTGCCAGAGCATTGCAGGATAACTGATTGGTTTGGTTAGTTTGAAAACTCAATAAATCTGAAACTACTCTTCTCTCTCGCTGTTAGGATCCTACGTTCCAGGAGAAGAGGGAGCGCTGTGAATACCTGAAGAACAAACTGGCCCACATTAAACAGAAGATCCACGAGTATGACAAGGTCATGGAGTGGAACGACGGCTACGGCTAAACCAGCATGGCCTATCTGTCTGGGGAGACCACAGGGAACCATTAGGAGACCAGTTAAAACTAGTCGGGACCAGTTGAAACGTGTGGGGGCCAGTTTAAAATAATGGAAAACATATGGGGCCTAGTGCAAACAAATGGGAGCCATTTTCAGTTGAAATTAATTGGAAATTAAACCAGTTCAGACCGGTTAGAACTGTGGTTTAAAATGGTGTCCTTTTCCTTTCAGCAACTGCACTTCTTTTTGGTCCATTGAAACAAGCTGGTTACACACCTGTACATTTTCTTAATGAAACCCCAAAAGAAACTGGAGTGTGTGTGCGGGCATGATGGAGAATTGACCAAAGGGGCATCTGGACCAATGCTTTTCTTTTTTACTGAAAATGACCATGATATGCAAACAGACAAGTATGGTACTGTAGCTGGACATACCACTATAGCCAAGGCCTAGTGCATTTCACTATACTCATGGAACACCAGCTGCTCAAGTGTTTCACAAAGGGACAACAGGATTAGGCTATAATCCTTCAAATGAATGATGGATCATGGAAATTGTTGTGCATGCGTTTACATATTACATTTACATGCTTTTATCAATCAGTTTTTTAATACTCCCTCCATTCCTTGACTCCTAGCTCACTGAATCATTGGAAAAACGAGCGTGATGACGATTGTCATGTTGCAATCCGTTTTGTTTTTACTCAATCACTGTACAAACTTCATGGCCACTGTTCAACCACTACGCAAAGTTAACTTATGAGGTAACCTTGATACTATGGCTCACTTTGGGGATGGTTTACTACCTGAACTCTTCAACTGCTGTATCTCAAGACTGTCAGTGTTATTTACACTGACCATCTGCAGGATTTGTGAACATCCAAATCATCTGGATAGATCAAAGCTTTAATCTGTGCACATGTATCCACTCACCATATTGTGAGAATCAGGTAACATACAGGTGTCCCTCCTGAGTGATGATTGTGCTTTATGGAAAGTTTTTATGATCACACACTTTCTGATTTATTTAATGATCACACTAATTTCTGTGTAGTTTTAGTACACTGTTCTACCATTTCATTAAACAACACTACTTATTTCCTCCACTTGTGTTAGACTAGCAGTTTGTAGTAGTGAATAACCTTTGTATGTGCCTTGGTGTTTTAATGTAAATAAATGTCTGTTATTTATGTCTGTCTTCTATCATTTTTTGACTATGAACAAACGTATCACTTGTTTTATTGCATTCAACTGTTGTCTTCCTGTATTTGACCAAATCTGATATTTAGAAAGGTTTTTTGGGGTTATTTCGTCATCCTTGATGAATTGGTGTTTGCTGTCTTCGAGACTACACCTTTGCTATTACATGTCTGTTTTTGTATTATTTAGTAGAAGGGCCTACAAGCAGAGCTGTCAGTTTGACACTCCTTAAAAACATACAGTAAAATATGTCTGAAATTGAAAAACAAGCAGTTGTTGTTGATAGATCACATGCTGAAATAACAGGGTCTGCCTACACATTTGGCATTCTTTACTTTTGTCATTGATGTTACAGTAAAGCATTTTTGCTGTTGGAAAATCCATCGATTACAGTCTGTCTTATGCACACGTGTGTGATATAGGCCTACTGCATTTCCAGGTATTCAATAACACTATTGTAGCAAACTAGATGTTTTCCATTATAGGTATACCGCAGGGATGTAGAGAAATATGTTTGTCGTTTCTGGCTTCTGACACTTGCTTACCACCAAACTGGATGGAAGACATACAAGGGAAAGAAAACAGGCTAGCCTATTACAGAGGTAGCCTCTTGTAGGCCTACTATATCAAGCAGCCAAGATAAAACGTATTAGTGCAAGTGCATTTGACGTCGATTATTTTCGTTTCGTTTCACTTCTCTTCACTTTTCGTTGTAACAACTCTTCATTCTGGTACTAGCCTGCCTGATGGAGATGAGAGGAGGAAACCCGACACCCTTCACATTCGGGGGCGGGGAAATGTGTGTTGAAGGGGCGGGTCATATTTGGATGATGCCCTCACCTGAACAAGGTGTGGCCTGTTATTGAACATCGGACGGAATTTCAACAGAAACCACTGGTGGCAAACACGCTGACTACTTTCCAACAAGTGAGTGGTTTGGCTTTATATTGTGGAACATTTGTTGAATTGTGAAATCGTGTCTGGAGTAAGATCACATCAGTTAGGCTACGCTTTCTTTTTTCGCAATGTTATCCTTTGTTTTTTAAAATAGGAATTAAAATATCTTGTTGTTGGAATTGCAACAATAGTTTTTTTTTTGTATCAACATTTGTTCAGCCTAGTTCAAACGCTTTACTGATATTATTTTATTGGTTATGTAGCCTATGATTTAAGACCACCGATTTTGTTTCTTCTTGAGCGGATGGTCGGGGAGGTGCTGAAAATAATTACAAATAATTTGTAGATTGCAAGTTGACCGCAAGAAGCTCTAATATAATGTTTGATATCATGTTTGACAAAAACATAATCATTTCAAACCTTGCATATTATTTGTTTTTACAGTCTTTTATGTCCAACAAATAATTTAATTTTTGCTCAGAAAACTTGGGGGGACCAAATAAAACCACCCGGGTCAAATGCGTTCAGCTGGCCACTAGTTGGGGAACCCTGATTTAAGAAATCAGCAAAACATGTTAGTTACCGTGTCATTATTCAGGTTTAAAAATGTTGCAGATAGATATAAATATAATCTGGTTGACAAGTAATATGTGGATTAGAGAAAACTGCAGATAATTGTCCTCTCAAATTGTTTGAAGCTGAGTACCCCACTGAAAACACCTCTTTGTGGACTGTGTTTGGGCTTTTCTTACACTTGTCACACCTGTTCTCACTGTTTCCCTTGGGGGGGGGGAAGCCTTGTGTCATTATTCCCGGAGTTTTGTATCCGTCCTGTGGACACTGATGCAGTGAGATGTATGTTTCTTTACTTAATTCTAATGTTTTTACTCTCTCTTCAACAGAGCTCAAACAGTTTTATACAGAGAGACCCTTAGGGCCCCAGTGAATTCAGGAATGTCTTCCAAGCCCAACGGGAGTCCGCCTCCCTATGAGTCAGATGGATAGTAAGTCTTAACTTTTACTTTACCCCTACTATACATATTTGATATACTTTCGGTGGAAAAGGCATGAACATGAACTTTTACGTAAAGGTTTGATCTTGTATTATGTTTATCGAAAACCACAGTAGTACGAATACTCATACTATACGATGTGTTTGCTTAATAGAGATTGTAGATTGTTGTTGACCCAAGGCAGTTTATCTCTCCTCTATATGTGTCACACACACACACACACACACACACAATTGTCTTTGCTAACTCGCTCATCCTACAATTGATGTTCCTACACTTGACACCCCCACTCTATTTCACAATCCACGTTTAACCGGTTGTCTGTCTCCCTCTGCAGTCATGAGCCACCCCAGCCAGCGTACTCCTACTACCCCGACGATGAGTTCCAGCACTTCTACAAATGGACGTCCCCCCCGGGCATCATCAAGCTTATGTCCATCATCATCATCGTCCTCTGTGTGGCCATATTCGCCTGTGTGGCCTCCACGCTGGCCTGGGACAGCCAGGGCGCCATGTCCGGCTTCGGGGGCTACGGGGGCTACGGGGGCAGCTCGTATGGAGGCGGTGGTTACTCCGGTAGCTTCGGTGGTGGTGCCTATGGCGCTGGTAACAACTACGGCTACGGCGGACTCGGCGGGAACTACAATGACCCTCGTACAGGCAAAGGGTTCATCATTGCCATAGCAGCATTCACCTTCATCACGGCCCTTGTCATTTTCATCATCGTGGTGTCGAGGCAGGGCCTGTCGGAGTCCAGAAGGTTCTACCTGGCTGTGGTGATCATCTGTGCTATCCTGGCCCTGCTTATGCTCATAGCGACTATAGTGTACCTGGTGGCGGTGAACCCCATGGCTCAATCTACAGGATCAATCTATGGGAGCCAGCTGGCAGGCCTGTGTGCCCAGTACCAGGGGCCCCAGGTTTCGGGAATGTTGGTCAACCAGTATCTCTACCATTACTGTGTGGTGGAGCCTCAGGAGGTGAGCATACTTTGTGTGTGTGTTTGTTTGCGAGAGAAAGAGGATATGTGTGCCACCTTTAGCTGCATACTTCCTCTCATTTGTGGTGGTGTCTGGGTCTGTGTGTCTCTTCTCTCACCCCACTTCCCCCTCCTGACCCAGGCCATAGCGATGGTGTTTGGCTTCCTGGTGGCGGCGGCTCTGATCATCATGATGGTGTTTGCCTTGAAGACGCGTCAGAAGATCAGGAACTACGGCAAGTCCAACATCCTGTGGAGGAAGGTGAAGATCATCAACGAGGAGGCCCCGCCCCAGGACGTGGAGGCATGGGTGAGTTAGGGAGCAGATGGGCATACATGCTGAATGTCAAATATTTTTCCTCGATTCCTTGTGTCCTTCTCTTTCACTTGCATCCCACTCAAATCCTCAGAAGGATGCAAGGAGAGGAAATGTGGAAACAATGATCAGAGGAAACGCACTTGTAAGAAATGAGAAAGTACGGTTTCATATTGATTTCACCTGTTAGGCGTTTGATCATGGAGGATAGGACAGAAATGAAGGAAGACATTTTACACACTTGAGATGCTCTCAGATTCTATTCAAAGGCAATATTTCCTCTAAACATGTATAGCTACAGTGCTAGCGGTAGGAAATCGTATCTGCGGAGTTTGTCTGACCATATAGTTTAATTCCCTTCCTGAAGGCTGTATGAAGGAAGAAAGGAGGGGACATTTTTTAGACCGATCCAGTTGTTAGGAAAGACAGCCTACACAGAATTGTAGCACTTTGTTCACCTTAACCCTTCAGGGTTTTCCGGCTCTGAACAAACTGCTGCGGTGAGAGCTGTTGTTGACCTCTGGTGGTTTCAGTGAAATCAGGTACTGTGTTCTCATGCATGGAGAAGGGTTAGTCAGGCCAATATATCTGCCTGTTGACTGTTTGTTCTACAGCAGTAGTCTGATAGGTAAAGCGGTAAGACCTGTTCTCCCATAGTCAGCAGCGTATTGGAGCTATGAGGAGAGGGAAGAGAGCTCTCTCACACTCAGTTTCTGGGTGTGGTTTGTCTATGGTGGTTTCACTCCTGCTCAGTCAGTAAAATGGCAGGTGGAATAATGCCTTCAAAAACAAAAATGTCAGTTGGGAGGTATATTATTTGGGATTTCAAGAGGTTGTCTCAGAATGAGGACTGTAAGCAGTTAAGGAAAAACATGGTCAATGCTCAAAAGTAAAAAGATGAGTCAACGATGAATCATGGTTTCTGAAACTATTCTTAGAACACCCGCTTTCCACATACCTAAATCATGACAATGAAGTGTGAGTTCAGTCAAGATAGTAAATGGCTGATAGTCAAGGTAGGTTTCAGTGTGGCCCAACAAAATGATTTAACATTTACACACTGCAGCTTTTCTCACCAAACTCACAGCTGGTATTTGAGTTTTACCCTAGAGGACAATGGGAAAGAGGAAGAACTGGTCTGACTAGTATTTAAACCCATGCTGACCAATACAAGCAAAGTAGACGCATACACATGCACAACATTACAGAACAGCAACATGACCCTGAGAAACTGAAGAGGTGGAGAAGTGCTGTTGCAGTGTTATTGCATGGATGAGTGTGTCCTCCCTGGTCTACTGATTACTCTGATGGGAAATTCTGTCCGTCCACAAACGACCTCTACCTAGTTACCTACCCCTTAGGCACTTGTGGAGATCTAAGAGGAGTGGATAGGCGTAAACCATACTGTGAACATTCCACTTAGCCTATCGGCGATACTACCATATTGCTAGCCTTATACCTATGCAATTAGCTATTTCAGATCTTAACAAAGTGCCAACACAGAAGCTCCCAGCACTACTGTAGTGGCTGGCTGAGCTCTGGGAAGGAAATTGCAAGTCTCAACCTGTCAGTGTAAATGTATCTTACTATCAAGTTGGTACAACGCCATCAAATAGAGTATGTCATTGTTTTGATGAGGATTCACTCTAAGCATGATGTGGAATTTCACTCAATACTTCTATTACTGTACATTTGCATTTCAATGCCCCCCTCTACACAGATAGGCCTGGCCTGTTCAGATTACACTTTTTCAATTTGTATCTCAAGGCTGTTCCGTCGCCACAGTACAAATAGTATGATTATCTCGCCTGTTGTGAGTTAGGTCACTGACGAACATGTTGTGTTCCGTCTGCAGGTGAACAATGTGTCAGGTTTTCCTGATGAAGGTGTGGTGTTGACCGAATACCCAGAGAAGTTTGGAGGATCCAGGAGTCACCTGGACGACACCAGCACCAACTACGACAAACCTCCCTACAGTGACAGCCCAGCGTGAGTACAGTACAGTTACAGACAGGCTTACACTACAACTACAGCTCACTTTAGTACAGACTAGATTAGATCTGGGGAATTGATCAAAGACCAATTACCTGATTTGCAGAGCAACATTTAGGTAACACTTGGATGACCCCTTAGAATGTATTATCATCTCATAAAGTTATACTGGGAATTAAACAGAGATTTAACTACCAAAGGGAAGTAAAGCTATCTACATTGGTGCATGGAACATTAGGTAATGAAACAAGATGGCGGTGGGCTATTTGAGAAGATTGTTCTGTTTTCTGCATATGTCAGTGCAGACCAGTGTAGTGCTTCCACCGTAATGGCAGGTTTAAGGTTGATCCTAATCTTATGGTGTTATTCTACACAGCTGGGAGGGACGATAGCATGTTAGGGCTTGCTGCAGTACTGAGATGACTGGCCGTGTGTGTGGTGTGTTTGTGTGGGGGGGTGTGGGCGTATGTGTATTTTTCTGTGCAGAAGACGGAGAACCTTGAAATGGATGAATTCTTCCGTCCATATAAAGTCCATGTACTGTAAGACACTATGCTATGAAAGGACAGTGTTAATGGTAGGTGAGGGCTATAGTGAAGGAAGTGTGTGACATTACCTCTCCACTCCTTTCCCCTCCATCTGACTATGACATCATCATCATCACAGTGAACGAGCCTGTATTTCCATTGCTGGAGAGGAGTAACTGTTGTCTTGTGCAACAAACTGAAAGTCAGGCATAGGCTTGCTTGGCATTTCACCAAGATTGGATTTGTTTTTGAATAATATTCTTCAAAAAAGATGTCACCAGACCAGAACCCTTGCAAAAATGGGCTATCATCCCATGATCAATTATGTACATTCCCTAGTCCCAAATAAAAATCCAGAGTGGTTGTACTGTATTTGTAATAAGTGTTTATCACACAACCTGGATGTCTGATGTCAGACAGTTGTTTTTAAGGAACAATAGTGGGATGATTATCTTAGATGTAGGAACTTAGAAAGAAATACCACCCCTGGACTTTGTGTGATCACACAAATAGCAGGAGAGATTGGTCTCATGTCAGAATGAACCTTTTATTATCATTATTTGGCATGAAGAAATCTTTCTGGCAGAACCAAATGTTTCCTTTTGTGCAATCATCAGTCATGGATGGTACTGTAGGTCAACTCACAGCTTAACTCCCCCCAGAAAGTCCAGAAAACAACACACCTTAGCATTGTAACCTTTACTCTACTCAACCACCAGTACGACTGGTAGACATAGAAATGCACCTTGTCATGCTTGTTTGAAGCAGAAATGTTTTGCTTTTTATTTCTAAATACTTCACGATAACACAACATTAGTGTCGATTTTTTTCCCCCCGTCAGCAAAGTAAAAATGGGCAGCGCAAATTTGGCACTTTTTACTTTTGCATGTGGCAGTAGCCTAATCCTGTAATGGCCTACAACAGCAATCCAACATTAACTTTAAGTATTAGCAGGTAGACCGCAGCATTGATCACTGCTTAGGGGAGGTGAGGCTCCCCGCATTAACTGATCCGGGTCATTTTGGTTCGTCAATGGTTAATACTCAATTGAGTAATTTGATCAGTTTGTATAGGGGCAACTCCATTTCATACGGTACTAAATCAAGAATCCCATCCTTCCTTGTCTCTCCAGTCCTCCAGTAGAGTGTGACTTCCCTGTGCGCAGGAGCGCCCCATACAGCAGTGGCTCAGAGATGGCCAGCTCAGCAGCAGGGAAGCCCAAGAAGAGACGGGCTGGTCGTCCTCGCCGTGCTGACGGACAGGATACAGACTACGCTTCCTCTGGGGACGAGCTGGACGACGACAATGACTTCGACAGGTACAGAGAGAGTAACACAATTACGGTTATAGTGATAATGGTTGTATGTATTTTGCTTAATTTTAGTTGACAGCTACAATTGATATTACAAGCTTGAAGTTGCTGTTGTGTGGCACAAAGTCTGGCAACGTGTTGCTGTCTAGGTTTCCACAATAACATTTTCAAGTGTATTCTGTCTCTCTCTCGCTTGCGCTCCAGTGAGTTCCCCACCATTGCCAATGAGCAGGAACGTGTTGACTACAAGCGTGAGTTTGACCGGGATCACCAGGAGTACAAGGACCTGCAGGGAGAGCTGGACAACATCAACAAGAGCCTGTCAGAGGTGGACAGAGAGCTGGACGAGCTGCAGGAGGGAAGCCCCCAGTTCCTGGTGAGTTTGAGGGGATCAGTTTGGTGAGGAATGGGCTAATCTTGATCACATAATTACCAGTTATTTGGGATGCAAAGCGATTTGTCGATCAGTGATTATGTGCAGTCTCGATGTAGTCAGTCTCAAACGTGCACTTTAACTATAACTAGCTAGGGTCCTCTAAAGGTTTTCCTGGTCAGGTCACGTGGCCAGTAAAAACTCTGGGCCTTATTTATAACATCAGCTCTGATTGAGATAGAGAAAATGTCCATGATATGTTGAATAATCTCCCATTCACATGCTAACTTTAGGTTGTGGAAGAAAGGGGTCATGAGAGAGATAGTTATTTGAGAAGTATATATTTTTGCATTTGAATAATATGTTTTTCTCCTCTACAGGATGCTATGGATGAGTACAACAGGCTGAAGGACATAAAGAAGGTACATATCCACAACATTTAAGCAACGCCTCTCACAGTTATCTGTCTGATCTACTTCCTTATCATGTACTCCCTCCTGTGTCTCTTATGAGTACTACATCCCAGTCCCACATTGTCATCAAGTTTGAGAAAGTAAATGTGGTTATCATGGCCCTTATGAACTGATTTAGAACCAGCTTTCTATACACTTGTCCTTACCACACTTATTATAGTCATAAAACAAAACTGATCTCAGACCAGCTACAGAATACGTAATGTACCTTCATTGGCCCATTCTTCCTGTTCTACAGTCTGCAGATTACCAGTTGAAGAAGCGCAGGTGTAAATACCTGAAGGCCAAACTGTCCCACATCAAGAGGATGGTCGCTGACTACGATCGCAGGGCCTGAACTTCCTGTCATCTGACGTCAACCAGGATACTACTTCCGGTTCAGAGTTGATGCCAGATGTAATACTGGTGGTTTGAGTCAGATTCTACTTATTTATTTGGCTCTGCTCTAGTGGCACTTATAATGAAGTATATTGAGCATGCATTCTAAGTGGTATGCTCATGTAGATATTGGAACGTAGCCTTTGTAATTAGGTTTGTGGTTGGAGTATACTGAGCGGCTTCACTGAGAAGTGTTTGTCCAAGGATCTCCACTATGATTGGATGGATGTGCTATGGATCAGCCAATTCATAGTGTATATATAGCCAGAGTATACTACAAAGCTGTTAAAGTATCTCACACATACTTAAATTTACATTTTAGTCATTTAGCAGACGCTCTTATCCAGAGCGGCTTACAGTTAGTGAATACCTTTTTTTTTGTACGTTTTTTTTCTCCATTTTTTAAATATATATATATATAATTTTTTTTTATACTGCCCCCCCCCCCCGTGGGAAACGAACCTACAACCCTGGCGTTGCAAACGCCATGCTCTATCAACTGAGCTACATCCCTGCTGGCCATTCCCTCCCCTACCCTGGACGACGCTGGGCCAATTGCGCCGCCCATGAGTCTCCCGGTCGCGGCCGGCTGCGACAGAGCCTGGATTCGAACCAGGATCTCTAGTGGCACAGTTAGCACTGCGATGCAGTGCCTTAGACCACTGCGCCACTCAGGAGTACTTCCCGAGACAATGGCTGTAGAAATATGTGTGGGTTTTGTGCCTTTTTTTAAATGGGTAATTTGAAAGTGCAGAAATAATATATTTATATGACTGCATTACTTGTGTTCAAAGGATTGTGTTAACTCTCATATAATGAATGGTACTTAGAGTGCAGTTTATCCTCACTCTGTTGTCTGTTGGTAGCCATTTTAAGGGATTGGACAAAATGACAACTTCAAACACTGAAGTTGTGAAACCGATATCACCTTTTTTACAGCTTCCTCTTTTAGATAAGATGTTCACTTGTTATTCTTTCACTTTCTATTTTCTCTTAAACCCATTGTCAGGTTTTGATACTTGTATTTATGAAAGGTTTGCCATTTGTAAATATGTGAATATACTTGCAGTCTCATCTCTTGATGTACTAATGCTTTGTTTCCTCTCCTGTCCTTTTTTGTCAGTTGCTAAAGACTGAAACTGTTATACTTTTTAAATCATTATGCATTTGATTAATGTTCTGTTTATTTTTTGACCTGTTTTAAATGGAATATATTCATTAAAGATTTGCGTAACAGTTTAAATTAACCTGATCAATTGTATTACCTTTTCTTACAGCTTAATATTTTAGATAAGATGTTCACATCTTCTTTTCGCTTTCTATTTGATCTCTAAAAGCCATTCTCAGGTTTTTCAATGTGTGAATATACTGTTATATACTTCAGTCTCATGGCAGTTATATTGATGTAACATGTTTGGTCTGCTGTCATTTGTCAGTTGCTAAAGACTTTGAAACTGTAACTTTTTTTTCTTTAAGCCCTTTAAGTTTAAAAAAATATTATTTTTAATACCAGTACTTTTCATTGTCAGTCAACCACGAACACAACAAATCAAAATGTATTTGTCACATGCGCCGAATACAACAAGTGTAGACCTTACAGTGAAATGCTTACTTACAAGCCCTTAACCAACAATGCAGTTTTAAGAAAAAATAACATAATTAAAGAGCTGCAGTAAAATAACAGTAGCGAGGCTATATACAGGGGGTACCGGTACAAAGTCAATGTGCGGGGGCACAGGTTAGTCAAGGTAATTGAGGTAATATGTACATGTGGGTAGAGGTAAAGTGACTACGCATAGATAATAAACAGAGAGTAGCAGCAGCGTGAAAAGAGGGGGTGGGGGGAGAGACAATGCAAATAATCCGGGCAGCCATTTGATTAGCTGTTCAGGAGTCTTAGCTGGCTTGGAGGTAGAAGCTGGTAAGAAGCCTTTTGGACCTAGACTTGGCGCTCTGTTACCGGTTGCCGTGAGGTAGCAGAGAGAACAGTCTATGACTAGGGTGGATGGAGTCTTTGGCAATTTTTAGGGCCTTCCTCTGACACCGCCTGGTATAGAGGTCCTAGATGGCAGGAAGCTTGGCCCCGGTGATGTACTGGGCCGTACGCACTGCCCTCTGTAGTGCCATACCAGGTGGTGATGCAACCAGTCAGGATGCTCTCGATGGTGCAGCTGTAGAACATTTTGAGATCTGAGGACCATGCCAAATCTTTTCTCCTGAGGGGGAATAGGCTTTGTCGTGCCATCTTCACGACTGTCTTGGTGTGTTTGGACCATGATAGTTTGTTGGTGATGTGGACACCAAGTAACTTGAAGCTCTCAACCTGCTCCACTTCAGCTCCGTCGATGAGAATGGGGGCGTGCTCTGTCCTCCTTTTCCTGTAGTCCACAATAATCTCCTTTGTCTTGATCACGTTGAGGGAGAGTTTGTTATCCTGGCACCACACGGCCAGGTCTCTGACCTCCCTATAGGCTGTCTCATCGTTGTCGGTGATCAGGCCTACCACTGTTGTGTTGTCGGCAAACTTAATGGTGGTGTTGGAGTCGTACTTGGCCAAGCAGTCATGGGTGAACAGGGAGTACAGGAGGGGACTGAGCACGCACCCCTGAGGGGCCCCCGTGTTGAGGATCAGCGTGGCAGATGTGTTGTTATCTATCCTTACCACCTGGTGGCGGCCCGTCAGGAAGTCCAGGATCCAATTGCAGAGGGAGGTGTTTAGTCCCAGGGTCCTTAGCTTAGTGATGAACTTTGAGGGCACTATGGTGTTTAACGCTGAGCTGTAGTCAATGAATAGCATTCTCACGAAGGTGTTCCTTTTGTCCAGGTGGGAAAGGGCAGTGTGGAGTGCAATAGCGATTGCATCATCTGTGGATCTGTTGGGGCGGTATGCAAATTGGAGTGGGTCTAAGGTTTCAGGGATAATGGTGTTGATGTGAGCCATGACCAGCCTTTCAAAGCACTTCATGGCTACAGACGTGAGTGCTACGGGTCGGTAGTCATTTAGGCAGGTTACCTTAGTGTTCTTGGGCACAGGGACTATGGTGGTCTGCTTGAAACATGTTGGTATTACAGACTCAGTCAGGGACAGGTTGAAAATGGCTGTGCTTCCCTTTGTAGTCCGTAATAGTTTGCAAGCCCTGCCACATCCGATGAGCGTCGGAACCGGTGTAGTACGATTCAATCTTAGTCCTGTATTGAAGCTTTGCCTGTTTGATGGTTCGTTGGAGGGCATAACGGGATTTCTTATAAGCGTCCGGGTTAGAGTCCCGCTCCTTGAAAGCGGCAGCTCTACCCTTTAGCTCAGTGCGGATGTTGCCTGTAATCCATAAACTAACATATGGAATTGTTTTAAGATGGTCATACCATGGATCATTTAGCTATTTGATTTGGAATGTTAGGACTCCTTTAGGTATAAAAAAATATTGGAATTTCACCTTTACTACTATAGCCCATAGAAACGCATTTAACACATTCATAAATGACAAAAGAGAGTCCAATTTCTTTTATAAGGTTTTGAAGTGTCTGTCCTATATCTAGGAGATACTATATAAGAATGCTCAGGAAATGATTTTTTGGACACATTTAACCCCTTATTTTTGTTGGCACAAAAATACCTCCATACTTCCATTAATTTGTATTGGTTACCTTCAGATGAGTCCCGTGACACTTCTGGCAAAACGGATAACACCATCATGTTCGTGAGAGTCTCCCCTTTCCACAGTGGGGTCATTAAACTGATGGATTTTGATGGGGATTTTTGTATTATGTTACATAGATTTACGCACAGGTGCGTCAATAGACTTATTAATTCAATATTTTTTTATCAAATGTTTTATTTGAGTAAAAATATATTAATGTTAAAATATATCATATTACACATTATGACAGAATGCATTTAAAACTTCATGCAATGTAACACTTTTGTATGACTTAATAAAATAAATATATATTTTAGGAGTGGGAAAAAAGTTGCTTGTGCGTTGATAAGCTAACCTAATTCCAATGACAGGGAATTTCTTTGGGTTGATCTCACGTTGAATTCACGTTAGTTATCAACTCAACCAAATGTAACCTAAATCAAAACTAGATGTTGAACTGAAGGCTAAAAGCTAGGGGTGTAACGATTCGTTTTAACAACGATTCGATTTGTATCACGATTCGTGGTTGTCGATACGATTCAAGGACGATATTGGTTCATTTAGAACGATACGATCCGAAACGATTCAGTGACTTGAAATCGATTCAGTAACCTTTTAGCCAAAAATTCAACCAGTGTGACTGAAATAAATACCTGGATACTGGACAGTGCAGGTGAAGTTTACTAGATTCCTGTTTCTTGTAAGGACCGCAATGGTGGCTTGATAATTTCTCGCTCGTCGGCTTCTCCTCTGTCGTCCGCCATGCTATGTTTTGTTGTCTTTGCGCCTTTGCGCTGCTGCTGGCGCGGGGCGATGACGTCACGGATAGGCAGACTGAATCGAGTAATGTTTAAAGCCTTTATCATTAAAAGTGCTAAGAAAAAACATCCATATAAAGTCTGACGTGCTTAAATCCAATGGGTTATTTCCTAGTATCGATACAATCGATTTATTACATTTTAAAACGATGTTAGATTGATATATGTTGTCCAAAAGGCCAACTCGCCGAGCACAGATCGATGTAGTTGGATCATAGGAATATAAATCGATACATCGATGTAGTAGATGGATCGTTACACCCCTACTAAAAGCATATTTCACACCATAGCCTGCTGAATTTGTAAGATCACTTTTTTCATTTTGATTTCGGCACAAATGAAAATGTGGCACTGACTCGCCCATGGACTGATGTTTCAGCATTGTCTCAATGAAGAGCCATGTGTGACAGGCACACGCAGTTACATGCCTGCTAGAGTTAGAAGCAGGCAGACGAGCAATATCCACCTTTATAGTACAGATGAAGACTAGGCTAGAATGTGTAGTAGCTAACTGAAGCTGGTTAGCTTTAGAAAACCCTGAGTAGATCTAGCTTGTAGACACCCCTCTGGTGTGTCTTTTGCATTAACATTTGTGTAATTGTCCCGCTGAAAAATTAAACTATCCCAGGGTTAGGGTTTCAGAAGACTGAGGTGGGTTTTCCTCTAACTTTTTACCTGGACTTTGCTCCTTTCATATTTATTTTGATCCTGACATACAGTGCCTTCAGAAAGGATTCATACCATTGACTTATTCCACATTTTGTTGTGTTACAGCCTGAATTCAAAATTGATTAAATCAATACTATATATATCACACAATACCCCAAAATGACAAAGTGAAAACATGTTTTCAGAACATTTAGCAAATGTCTAATT